TATTACTTCTGCATTCCATGGAATGGTGGGGCAGGGGTAATTGAAACATTCAATGATTTTTTCTAAATAAACAAAGTATAAATATTGCTGTTTTTGCTATCAAATAGGAAGCAAGTAACCACAAAATGCAAATGTGTGCTGTGACACTTTCAGCACAGGAGCACCCCACTTACAGAGAAGCAGCTTTTCTTTCAGGCCACCAACCAGCTCCCAAATCACAACACAGAGACTTGTTCTTAGTTATAAATGCTTGTCATAAATTAGGCTAATTTCTGGCTAGTTTTTTCTTTTCTTTTTTTCTTTTTGGTTTTATGAAACAGGATTTCTCTGCATTGTTTTGGAGGCTGTCCGATCCAGCCCGGCCTCGAACTCACAGAGATCTGCCTGCCTCTGCCTCCCGAGTGCTGGGATTAAAGGCATGCGCCACCACCGCCCAGCTTCTGGCTAATTTTATAAACTTAACCTCTTTCTCTTTGTTTACCTTTTGCCTCTGGGCTTATTACCTTTCTTACAGCTGTATATCTTACTTTCAAGGCTTCTTGATGTCTGGCTGGCTAGCAGCTAGCTGCCCAGCTTCTTGCCCTGGGATATTCACCCCTTCTCTCCTCCTTCTTCTCTTGTTCTTCCTTTCTCTCCTCTAGAACCTAGAATTCTCCTCTTTATTCTCTCTCTGCCAGCCAACTCTGCCTATCCTTTCTCTGCCCAGCTATTGACCGTTCAGCTCTTTATTTGATCAATCAGATGCCTAGGCAGGGTGAAACAGATGCAACACATCTTTACATAAATAAACATACATCCTTACATTGTTAAAAAGATGCAGCATAAACAAAAGTAACACATCTTTAGACAGTTAGAGTAATATTCTGCAGCATAAACAAATGTAACCCATCTTTACATAGTTAAAATAATATTCTACAACATACTTGGGCTTCCAGTTAGGACATATTTTGCAGTGCATTCAACTTTCGCCACAGGACCAGATTTACAATACTGAGAGGTGCTCTCTCTCAAGACTTTAAAGTGGGAAGGCATCTGGAACTAAGTATGACCGTTATTCTGTTTTTACTGTAGTATTGTGGTTAACTCTGGAGCTAGTCAAAGAGAATTGTAATCCAGGCTTGATAACCATGGACAAATCATTTAACCTCTGGGTCACAGTGTCCATATCTGGAAAGTGAGGACAGTGAGAATATTGTTTTTCCGGGGTTGATAATGACTCGACAAGAGGGTACGCAGAACGTCCCAGTGGAGTCTGCTCTCTCAGGCTGTTCATCAAATGAAGCACACTGCGAAATCCAGAACAGTGGTCTGCATTCAGAACTGCAAGTGGATGGAGTGGGCATCCTGAAGCAGTTGGAACTTTGCAGTCAAGGGTCCGACTTGGCAGCCCTGACATACTGAAAATAAGACCGTGTGAGCAATGGTGTAAATGAATAATATTGATTATATTAAAAATATACCATAACGTGGGAGAAAGAAGGCACTGAATGTGGAGTGAAGTGAAAGCAAAAGGAAAACAATTACTTGGAGGACAGACTTCTGTGAAGGAGGGAGAGGAGATGAAGGGAAGGGGGAGAAAGGGGAGGAGAGAGAGAGATCACAAGGGGCCATGTGCAGCAGTGCACATCTGTGAATCTGGAGCTCTAGCATTAGGGTGGCTGAAACAGAAAAAGAACAACTTCAAGACCAGCTGTAGGCTGCACTTGAGTTATCTGACACCAATTTGAGAAACATACTGAGATATCATCATAAAAAAATACAACTTGACACTTTAGCAGTTCACTGCTTGACCGGAGATATGGCTCATTCATAAAATGTTTTCAAGTCATGCATGAGGCCCTGGGTTCAATACCCAGTAGCCCATAAAACCTGGCATGGTAATACATGCCTGTAATTCAAGAAATCAGAGGTAGGAGACAGGAGAATTAGAAGTTCAAGGTCACCCTGAGCCACATAGTACATTTGAGGCCAGCTTGGGATACACAAGACCCTCTCTCAAAACAACAAACAAAACGGAGTTCATTGAGGACTTCACAGGGGTTGACAGCTGATGTGGAAGCAGTGTTTAAACAGGTATAAAGGGCAGGAGAGGAGATGGGGTGTATAGAGCATAAGTTCACGAGATAAACCAGAAGATAGACTCAAATCACCTCCACCATGTACTGCCATGTAAGCCAACATTTCTGTACTTGTATTCATCTGTAAGATGGAGAGAACAGCAAGAAAGACCTGATAGGATTAGTTGAGGTTTGCATGACCCTAAATATGTGCTTAGTATGTGTGAGATACAAAGTTAATAAAGAAAAAAGAAAGAACCAGTCAGACAGTTTGAGCAGAAAGTTAATTTGATGTCCACAAAAATGTGGGGTCATAGAAGTGAGAGGCGGTGCAATTCTGGTGAAGTAATGGCTTTGAAGTCATCCCATGGCAGCTGTGCCCCAAATGTTAGGAAGCTGATGTGATGACTACTGACTGGCACTGCTGGCTAGCACTGTTATTGTTACAGTGTCACCCACAAAGATTGAGCAGAGAAACTGCAATGTGAACTACAGACACCAAAGTACATTGGGAACCTCCTGCAGACCACCAGAAGACAGACTCTGTCTAAATTATACTCCCCCATCTTCTTAGCATAACTGGAAATGTATGTGAAACCTCATCGTATTCAGAACCCTTGCTGCAAGACTTTGGAAGAAAATGTATGTTTGCCCTTATGTTTTCAGGGGAAACAATGGAATAGGAATAGTCAGTGTGGAGCAGAAAACTGTATTCAGTTCAATTTTCTCCTCTCCTCCCTCTGTGTGTATATGGAATAGGCCAACATCGGGTCTCTTTGCACAGGGCTTATGCATCTTTTGGACTTTTTAAACTTTATTATTATGATGTGTACATATTTATGATGGATAGGGCATGCACAGGTAGAGAGGTTAGAGGACAACTTCGTGAAGTTGGTTCTCTTCTTCCACCTGGATGTGTGTTCTGAGGATTGAACTTAAATCACCAAGCTTTCACGGCAGACCCCTTTACTCACTTAGCCATCTCACCAGCTCTACCTTAGCTTTTTTTTGTTTATTTGTTTTTGGTTTTTACGAGACAGGGTTTCTCTGTATTGTTTCGGAGGCTATCGGTCCAGCCCGGCCTCGAACTCACAGAGATCCGCCTGCCTCTGCCTCCCGAGTGCTGGGATTAAAGGCGTGCGCCACCACCACCCAGCTACCTTAGCTTTTGAGATAGTCTCTCACTGGCCTGGAACTCAATGAGCAGGCTAGGCTGACTGGCCAGCGAGTCCCAAGAATCTACCTGTCATTGCCATTTTTAGTTCTGAGGTTATAGGTGCGCGTCACCACACCACTTTTATATGTATTTTGATGATCTAGCTCAGAGTCTCCTGCGTTCACGGCAAGAACTTCATCAACTGAATTATCTCCCCAGCCCCACAGTTCAAATACTTTCACCCTGACTGCTGACACCAGAGACCACAATTGAAAACATCACAGATTGACAAACTGTTATGAAATACAAGAGGGATGAATACCTGAATAGGACAATGGGTGTATTTGTAATGTTGGAAGGAAAATTGTGAGATGCACTTCAAGTGGTTTGTAAGTTGAGGCCAGAAGATGAAAGCTAGAGAAGGTAAGGGAAGTTCTATGTCACCAGTAGATGACATTTGCTCACTACTTTACAGGGATGATCACACTGTGAAATAGAAGCTTAAGTGGAAAAGATATGTTGGGGAAAGCCTGATGTGAATGGACTAGCTAAAATTTCCAACCTCAACCTACTCCTCACCATTTCTAGAAGAAACAAAATCATATGTTGAAGACCTAGCTGCGTTCCTATGTTCACTGAAGCACTATTCACCTAGTCAAGATCTAGAATAACCTACAGCTGGGCATGGTGGTGTGCACTCTTTAAGTGCAGCACTTGGGAACCAGAGGCAAACAGATCTCCATGAGTTCAAGGTCAGCCTGGTATATACAGTGAGTTTCAAGCTGCCCATGGCTACACAGTGAGACCTTGCTTCAAGACAGATAGATAAATAGGTAGGTAGGTAGGTAGATAGATAGATAGCTGGATAGCTAGAATTAAGGTAAGAATCTATATATAGATAGATGAATAAAAATGTGGTAGATATACACACAGTGGAATACTACTTGGCCTTCAAAAAGAAATGAATTTGTAACAGCATTAATGAATCTGGAGGGAATTGTGCTAGATGAAATAAGCCAGCCTTTTTTATAAAGATGAATACTACACATCTCAGTCCTCATATGTGGCATATAAAAACAGACACTCATAAAAGTAGTTGGTAAAATAGGGCTTAACTAGGCCCTAGGTGGCGAAAGAAAGTGAACAAAGTTTCAGTAAAATAGGGAGAATTTATCTGTGCTCAATACAGTGACTATGGTTAATACTGTTTTTATATTTCAAGAGTTAAAATCAAAGACTTTAAATGTTTTCACTACAGATGTGATAATATTTGAAATGATAAATGATATGTTAAATTAGCCTATAACCAGATAGCATGATGTATGCGTGGATTGAAAGCTCACACTGTTGTCACCAATATGCAATTTGTATTTGTCAGCTGAAAATAAAGTAACGCTTAAAAAATCCTCATGTAGGATATCCGTCTGTATGCTGCGAATATGTGTTGCTTTTATTGGTTGATGAATAAAGCCGTTTTGACCGATGGCCAGGCAGAATATAGCTAGGTGGGAAATCCAAACAGAGTTATAAAGAAAAAGAAGGCAGAGTCAGGGAGACACCATGTAGTTAATGGGGAAGCAAGATGTGAGGTAACGAGCCACAAGGTTTGTGGTAAAACATAAAATAATAGAAATGGGTTAATTTAATTATGAGAGCTAGTTAGTAATATGCCTGAGCCATTGGCCAAAAATTGTTATGAATGCTATTTGGGAACTGGCAGGTGGGACAAAAACCTCCAACTACAAAAACCTTCCTGAACATCAATCAGTAGAAAAAATATAAACAAATTATTTATAAAGCACTGTTTATTCTTGTTTATTGAAAATGTCCATTTTAAAAGTCTTTAAAATAAAAACAAGTTTAGAAAATCTGAGTTCCTGTAAGAAGGGACATGACAAAGAAGAAACTGAAAGGCCTCTAAGGGCAGCAGTTTAATTACAGAGGAACAGGAGCCCATTTATAGAGTATTGTAAACAACACAACTATGGAGACACGGCTGTTGGGTTAACATGGCTTCATTTCCTTTATATTATTTAGTGTATAAGCGCGGGCAGCCCACTGCACAAGTTTCAACATCCCAAGTACCAAGGGCCTCTCCTTAGAAGGGCAAAGTCCCCAAACATGCATCTGTGCACATCCTTTTAGAGACCTTTCAATGTCCTAAGCAATCAACTAAATTATTTGGTAATCACTAAAGTGTTTCCTGTGAACAAAATCTGCACATTTATTGCAAACTTTTGACTAAGCACAGACAGGACACATGTGAACATCTGTGTTACTACTGTTGTTTCTTATGTTAAATTTTTACATGAAAGATGTCTCATAGAAACCTCTGAGCTTAGAAACACCACAGCCATTCTTAGAAACTTACACTCAAGCTGTCAAAGATGGCTGTGTGCAACTAATTGTCTGAGTTTCGACTTCAGGAATTCTCTACCTGTAGGTACTATGTCATCCATGTGACAGGAGACAATAGCCCTGTACCATAAAATTATGGAAACTGTGATAGCCTCCATACCAGAAAGAAAAAGGGTTCCTCAACAACATTTTAGGCCTCGAGTTTGGATTTGAAACAGCACTTACAGGCACCCATCAAATATACATATAAACTTTGTTGGCTTTCTGCCTCTCTTTAAAGTGACTTTGCCATCTGGCCAAGTTGCCCTACCATCTGAGGAGGTAGGCAAGCGCTATGCTGCTCCATCCTGTAGCCTTGGCCCATTTTGACTTGTGTACAGAGTTCTTCTGGGTCTCTCTTCTAAATCTTCCTCACAGTTCAGATTTCTGGACTACTTACTAAGTCAGTGGTCTGTCATTGTAAAAAAACTTGTACAAACTAGTTTCAGACAGTCAGCTTCACTAGCAACCAGCACAGCGAGTGGAGAGGCCCTTTCACTCAGGATATACTAACTGGCTCAGCATATTCAAAGCCACTACAAAGAAGCCAATGATGATTCTAACTTCTCACTGCAGAAACCAGAGCTCAATAAGATGGGATGGAAGGTGTGTACCAGAGCATGGTATCTTGTCACCCAGGTTGTTTAGAAAGGAAAATGTTGGAGTTTGAATATTCAAGGTAAAGCCACTGCTCATAGTAACTGACAAAATAAGCAAAGCACATCCACACTGCTTTACACACCACTTGGTACAGCTGGCTAAAAGCACAGGGGGTTCGGGGAGGTAGAAACCTTATGTAGAGGCAGACGGCTGGCAAGCTACAGTGCAGTAACAATAGCTGCTCTGCCTTGCTGGGGGGTGGGGGTGGGATACCTGAAGCAGTGTGCTGATGGACTTAGTGCTGGTGTGGACAGCTGGAGTTCCTACACCCCTGACTTTAAATGTACACCAGCACAAAGGGAATAAGAGCATTACACTGATCTTGATCTTAACAGACAACACAGGGCAAGAATTTTTAAAGCGTTGAAGGGAGCCATGTGACAGCCCAGGGAAGGAAAGCTGGATCATTGGGCAAAGGTGTTGTTTCACCTACTCTAGACACAGCCTGTGAAGCTTCGCCTTCAGCGAATTAGGTAGTAAAGGGCTGTTGGGCATAGCAATTGGGGCAATTTTTCACCACTTAGGTTGTTTCCCCTATTAAAACAAATATCAATCAACTGATAGCCAAGTAATGAATACTCAAGCAAACAAAGGTGGGGAGGAGAGAGAGAGAGAGAGAGAGAGAGAGAGAGAGAGAGAGAGAGAGAGAGAGAGAGAGAGAGAGAGATCCCAACACAAAGCGAAGCTGAGGTGCACAGTCAAATCATTCATCATTCAGCTGGCCATTTCAACAAGTGCTGAAGGTCTGGGCTCAGCTGCACAGTGATGCTTATGGGAGAATAGAGGTCTTGCTGCTGTCAGCTCGAATGCACTCGTCTGTCTGCTTCAACAGCTTCCGGACCAGCTTTTCTAGGTCCTTCCTCGACTTCAATTCTTCTTCCAGGCATTGTTTCATTCTCTTATTCTCCTAGAAGGGACAAGAGTTGTTGATCATCAAGCCAAGGCAGCCTTTCCCAGGGTTCTTCCTCCTCCTCATGGCATCACTCACTCTGACTGCATCTTCTAAGACCAGACTGTGTCCTGATTTCCTGCCTGTGTGTAAGCAGCCTGCTACATTCTTCACTTAAATGCGAGTGTTTCGTAAGACTGAATCTGCCCTGTTTCCACACTTTTTCATTTCGGATCACTTCTCTATCATCGCACATATACATTAAGAGGCTTCCTAAGAACAATACAGGAAATACAAATGATATCACCTCCCAAATTCTCAATGAGCTGCATTCTCAGTGGATAAAGAAAGATGAAATGAGCCGGGCGTTGGTGGCGCACGCCTTTAATCCCAGCACTTGGGAGGCAGAGGCAGGCGGATCTCGGTGAGTTCAAGACCACCCTGGTCTACAAGAGCTAGTTCCAGGACAGTCTCCAAAGCCACAGAGAAACCCTGTCTCGAAAAACCAAAAAAAAAAAGAAAGATGAAATGACTGACACTCAAGTGTAGGAACACCTACACCTACTTTACACAGGTTCCTAAAGTCTGAATACCTGGACACCCTGAAGAAATTATTTTTATTATAACCATCTAAAAAACTTACAGGTAGATGTCATTTGTTATCAACACCTGATCATTGTCTCATCTCATTTTCTATTCTTCTTTTATAATAGTAAAGGGCACCAGTGACAATACTGGTGTTTCACTAATACATCCTTTACTTTAATTGATAACAGAATGTCACTGTAACTTCTCCGTAAACTGACTGTACAAAGCTGTCCAGTCCAGGAATAGAATTGTGTCTAATATGAATTTTGAAGTTTTAAATTGGCTCAAAACAAAAAGTTCAAAAATAGAGTGTTTTCTCTTAAAAAAAAAGAAGAAGCTTCCTAAATATCTCCGATGCCAGCCTCACAGGACAAACCAGTGTGGCAGGTCTATCTACGGAGATTATAAGCACTTTAAACTTACTAGGTTCTAAAGGGAACTTAGTATCACCTCCCCCATCAGTACAAATGTCTTCCAGTGCTTCTGAATCTCTGAAAGGATGCCTACCATAACAAATTAGATACTGAGACGAGAAGCTTCTCTAATAGCTGTTCTCTCCTAATCCCAGCGCTGTGCCATCATGTGCTACAGGTTCCAACTCTACAATGTCTCCTTACTCCTACAATGCTCCACTCCTCAAGGCCTCACTGATCTGCCTCAGTTCAGGAATTTGCCATGCCCCATGCAAAATTTGCTAAGAATTCCACAAGTGCTCCTGCAGGCTCTAGACTTTCCTCTTCCTTATCCTCCCCCTTGTCACAAGGTACAATCACTCTACATAGGTAGAGGTCAAGTCACGGAGCACAGGGCCACATCACCAGTAGATTCACAAACCACCAAAGACAGTTCTCTTTTCCATCCTTCTATCTCTCCTTTATTATTCCCTTCCTTTCTTTACTTTTCCACAACAAGATCTTGCTATAGAGCCCAGGCAAGCAAAGTCACGATCTCCTTGCCCCAACTTTCCTAGTTGCTAGGATTACAGGCAGGCACCACCACACGTGGGCTTGCTTATATTTTTTTTTACAATTTGAGGGAAGGAGAAAGTAGTGTCTACGTTTGGGACTCTGCTGCACAGATCTAAATTCAAGGCCACATGATTAAACAAATAAAACCCACCTGATAACACAAAGAAGACACAAATTCTCCCCCAGTACCTTTCTCCTGAACTCTACCTGACACCAGCTCCCAGCGGGTGGCCAAGAAGACAGAGCAATTCTGTTATCTGAGAAGTTAACTTTGAAAATGTGTTACCTGCTTCAGCTCTTTGACCTCATCCTTCAAGGCATAAACAGTATCAACAAGGCTCCTAAAACATACAGAGAAAATCCAGAAATGAATGGCTGGTACTGAAGTGCTGAGAAATAAGCAGCCCATAACTATATACATACAGGTATGAAAATCAGTGGGGTTTCTAGCTGATGGGGAATAATCGTGCTCTGAGTGGTCCATATTCTTTCTCTTCATAGAAGAAAAATTCTCACTACACATGTCCATTTCACTACCATGCTACAGCATCATTTCTATACTGCCCATTCCCTTCCCCACTCAATTCCAGCTTGAGTGGCCAGAAAACAACAGGTAACGGCCATAAATTTGTCTTTTTTCAATTTAAAGATATAGCTGACAAATAAAAATTGTATATATTTAAAGTATACGACATGGTTCTTTTGTGTGTTTGTCTTATGAAATGATACCCCAATTGAAGCTAATAACATAGCCATCACCAGATACAGCTGTGTCTACTATACATGAGTATGTCTTTTGAGAACACTGAAGGTCTACACTCTTAGTAAATGTCAAGAATAAAAGACATTTTTATTAACTTTAGTCATCATGCTGCATGTTAGATAGACTAAAACTTATTTATCACCTTATATAATTGAACTTTGTAGGTTTTATTTTACTAATATTACTTATTTTTTTTCTATACCCTCCAAACCTCTGGAAACCATTGTTCTACTCTATGATCCTGTGAGTTCAGTTTTTTTTTTTTGAGATTCCCATCATAAGGTTTGATTGCTATGGCGTTAAAGTAGGAGTAAATATCACTATGTAATGAGAAGTATCATAAGACCCTGTGTGTGATACAACAGCCATGCTATGGTATTATCCTTCCCATTTAATTAACTTCACCTGAAGGACACTAAAAAATAATAAATTTTTACATGGTAAAGTTCCCTGGATAATTGTGGCATTCTTTGTCCCCCAACTAGTTCTAGTCAAATAATTTACACATCTAGGTTTTAGTTGGGAATGTTTAAGTTTAATTTTTATTATTGGTGTGTGTGTTTACGTGCATGTAAATGCAGGTACTCCAGGAGACCCAGAAGAGGGCGCCAGATTGCCTGGAGCTGGAGTTACAAGCAGTTGTGAGCTGCTTAACATGGGTCTTGTGAACTAAACTGGTCCTCTGAAAGATCTGCTAGGGCCAGATGTTTTAGTTTTGAACCCATCACTTACTATTACTCTGACCTTGTATAACCAGTTTCCTTCTCAGCTTGTCTTGGCCATTGCTTTTTTTACATGTAAAATAGGGATAATACTACATTCCTTGAAGCCTTCACAAGGGTATTATAATTATTAAATCAATAATAATGTTCTTAACAACAATTAGTATCCTGCTATTAATTTTTGAATGTTAACCTTTATAATTATTATATATGATCACACAATAGCTTAGAAAATATTTCTGTCATTCCCATTTTACAGATAAGGACTACAAATCTGAAGAGGTGGAAGAACTAGCCCAGGTAACCCTGGCAATATATAGCAAATTGAGAGCAGAACTGGGACTTTGGTCTCTTCTCTTGAGTCCAAGTGCTTTACCATATAGCAGGTGTGAAAACACATCCACAATGACAAGCACTGTAAGAGATGCTGTCGTATGCAAATTCAGGCCTGACTTCAGAAATGACCCAACTACAAAGGAGTGAGTTTCTTGGCTACTCTGTACTTCTATATAAGCTGGAAGGCATGGTATTTAACCTGACCCCACCACACATAAGTCACACTCACAACTGTGAAAGGTAGGACATGGCATAGTTTCCCAGAACGTTCTTTCCTTCATCTTTGAAAGTGATGCGTTTTCCACCAGATTGCTTTAGGACTTGACAAGAGGTCAACTGTGACAAAGGTGACTCCTGACTGAAAAGATGTGAGCAGTGACAGGGTTCATAAAAATGGTTTCGCTTCATCTTGACTTAAGGTCAGAGAATTCAATACTATCCTTACTCTTCCAAGGCTAAAAAGTCCTAAGAAGTAAAGATCTAAGGTGTGGATGTCTTGTCTAAATAACAAGAGGCTTGGTCTAAAGTGTGGCTACTTTTAACCCTAAAGGTCAGATAACAAGAGATTTAGTCTACTGAATGTTTGGAAGATTGCAGAAATAAGTCTCTTTGTTCCTTGTATCTTGATAAAGAAGTCTCTTGCCTTCCCCACCCCTTTTGGTTTGGGTATATTAGAATTTTGAAGAATAAGCTTGGCTGTGGTGATACATTATTTATGATTTATTAAAACTTTCCTGAAATTCAGAAAATCAAAGCAGCCAAGCTACCAGAGAGCTCTTACCTCTAACGGGGCTGGAAAATGAATGCTCAATACTGAGACTTTGCTTCTGTCTTATACACCTCTCATGAGTCCTGGGATTAAAAGTGTTAGCTATCATTCTCTTTTAGACTGATTCAATCTTGTGTAGATCTGGGTGACCTTGGACTCACAGAGATCTGTCTACCTCTTAATCCTGAGTCCTACGATTAAAGGTGTGAACCACCACCTCTTGGCTTCTGGCTGCTAGGATTAAAGGTGTATGCCTGGATTCTGTGACTTATAGCTGACTTTGCTTTCTGAATCCTCAGGCAAGCTTTAATAAATTGCAAATAATATATCGCCACCATTTTTTTAAACCGTACTGATCTTTTGCTTATAGACTGTGGTTTCCAATTTTGAGTTTTTATGGTTTTTCTGTGTGCAAGTGTGTGTGTGTGTGTGTGTGTGTGTGTGTGTGTGTGTGTTTCTCCTACTTTCTCTTCCTGTTTGTTTGATATATTCAGGACTATTTTTGCCTGTTTTCTAAAAAAGGAGAGAAGGAAAACATAAAGTTGGATGGCTAGGAAGGTGGGGAGGATGTGTAAGGAGATGAGAGAGGGAAAATCATTATCATAATAAATTATATGGGAAAAATATAGAAAATACTGGCAAATCATAAAGTATTACCATCTGGAATAAATGAACTACTAAACCGGGCGTTGGTGGCGCACGCCTTTAATCCCAGCACTCGGGAGGCAGAGGCAGGCGTATCTCTGAGTTCGAGACCAGCCTGGACTACCAAGTGAGTTCCAGGACAGCCTCCAAAGCCACAGAGAAACCCTGTCTTGAAAAAAACCAAAAAAATAAATAAATAGAAAATAAATGAACTACTAAAATTCAATCCTGAAAACAAAAATAATATATCAATACAAATCGCCTTTTGTCTAATACAAGCTTTAATAAATCATAAATGATATATCAACACCTTTGTCAAGTTCAGTATTCACTAGATTGCTTTCCTGACTCTATTCTGTGCCTCTATCTTTCCCTTAATATCTTTACCTGCTGTTTCTCAATCCACACTCCCCCTTTCAGGTACAAAGGGGAAAGTCAGCTGGATCTGACTGAAGCCCCCCAAAGACAGGTTCCAAGAGATGACCACTCAATATAGGGCACAAAGAAAGACAGGTTAATACAGATTGCACCACAACATGGAGCTACTAAAGGTAAAAGCTACAGATGGCACCCAATGTGGGTCATAAAGACGGGTTCCCACCTATGGCAATCATAGATGAGCCCACAACACAGTACACAAGCAAATCCAGGTTCCTACAGAGCAGCAATGGCTGTGGGCATGTAGATGCATGCTGAGGCCTTCCTGGATAGCTCCAAACACACCATGCAGAGATCTTCAGTGCTAGGAACCTGCTTACTCAATGGAGCTCCCAACTGTATGCTCAGCAAAGAAGGGCCATTTGTGGAAGATGGGGAAGAGAAGGATGGGGACGAGAAGGAAGTTGGAGGAGAATAAAGAGGGAGAAGGAAAAAGGAGGAGAAGAACCTGTGTGATGGCATAGCTATAGTCATTTTGGAAGAGGAAGCTTCAACTGAGGAAATACCTCCTACCAGACTGGCCTGTGTACAAGTCTGTAGAGCATTTTTCTTAATTAGTGAATAATTTGGAAAGGCCCAGCCCATTGTGGGTGGTGCCATCCCTGGGCTGGTGCTCTTGGGTTCTATAAGAAAGTAGACTGAGCAAGCCATGGTGAACAAGCCAGTAAGCAGCACCCTCCATGACCTCTGCATCAGCTCCTGCCTCCAGATTCCTGCTCTGTTTGAGTTCCTGTCCTGACTTCCTTCAGTGATGCAGTGTGACCTGAGACTTGTAAGCTGAAATAAACAGTTTTCTTGCCTAAGGTGTTCATGGTTATGGTGTTTTATTGCAGCAAGACAGTCTGCTATACCTACTTTCAGGCCCTAGACATGTCAAGAAAGGGGTCACTTTCTCTACTCACTTTTCTTCAATGATGGTCTGCCCATTACTTCTGGTTTCTTCAATAATGAGTTTCTCTTCCTCGGGGAGTAGTACTTGTGGGACAGAATCTTTACGAGTACCTATAAAGTGAAGATTTCCAGGGAGGGGTGGGGAGTTATTATCAGAGGCTGTCTTGGTCTTAGTCCTTTGCACTGCTGTTACAGCAACAGCTTTCTTCACACCCTTAAATGTTCCCAACAGGGAGAACTCTAAATGGCCAAATGATGTTACTCGGTCTTCATGAATGGGGAGTTGGTGTGCTAAGACACCCCCCCCAAAGCAAAAAACTGACCACTAGTACCACGCCTCTCCATCCTCCAGGAATCCCACACACATCCCATGATCAGGTATTCTTTAATTTCAGTAACAGTTGGGCTGACAGTAGCACCACTCTGGGCTATGACATGCTCAAAGGGCTTCAGAAGCAGCATTTGTTCCGTTTGAAGTCTTCTAGGGAAATGGAGAATGACTTAAATCTACTTTTGGCCATGGGTACAGTGGAGCTGGGAGACTATCACATCAGCAACAGAACTCATGTATCTTTGTTGCTCTCTGCCCACACTGTCTCCCCAGACTGGGAAAGAAGAGGTGATAGGTAGTTTCAACTTCTCTACAGCTCAATCTAGAGTCTTTCTCTCTGGGTTTAAGAGATTAATCTTTGCTTTGCCTGGGTCACCAGCCTGTTCTGTTTTAGAACAAATCCTCCAGAAGTGTAGACATCCACTGCTTTTATTTGATCATTCCCGTCTTCCTAGAGGTGAGATGCTTCCATGTTCAGTGAATACCTCTTCTTAAGTATTTAATTAGTATGCCGAAGAGAAATGGATGGATGGATGGGTGAATACAGAAAGCCAAGAGCAGTCACTTCTAGGGAAATAGGACATTTGACTGGGGTGAAATGGAGGGCCACTGTGATTCTGAAATGTTGGCTACATCTGAATGTCAAGAATACTTCCTACATGCACAAGGGATGGTAGGAAGGAGGAACCAAACTGTGCCCCGTTAGGCCAGATCACCTCTGAGCTTTCACCTCTAAGTGCTTGGATGGACTCTACATCTAGGAAAACGGGTGGCACAGAGGTGAGGTAAGGTTGGATTTTGTATGAGGGTTACTCTTCTGGGGTCTCCTCACCCTCACCTCCATCCTAGCTTTCACAACAAAACTTCTCTTTCCTCTCCCAGCTCATCAAAACTTTCTGTTAGGACCTAGCATGCCATAAGCCCCACAGATTACATCTGTGGGGCAGTGTCCCTGTTCACGGTAAAATGTACTGATTTCCACATCAAATGCTCTCCTCTTGTGACAGCCTGTGAGATGTGCTACCTTCAAAGAGTGTGTCAAGGCAGTCTCCTGAGAAACCTCTCTCATAGCAAGGAAGCAGCTGTGAAAACTACAGCACTCTTGGACATTTGGTCCTTATGCAGACATGAGAGGCTTTCTAAAGGGTGTCCTATATGTATATGATAATAGGAAACAAAATATACAATCTAGGTGACCTGGGCTGGAAAGAACACAAGGACGTGCCATAAGGCATCACCTAGCTTTCAGGTGTTGAGGGGAATACCCTCACCTAGCAGCTCCTTGAGACAGTTTATACATTTGAAAGAAGCCTCAGCTATGCAGCTGCATTTCCAGATTTTCAGAGCAACTTTGAAACCTAAGTCTGGTGAGGCATCGTTCACTTCAGTAGATAGCTGATGAAAGATAGTATTTTGACTTCCTTTCCAATTCTGCCTATAAGTCTAGATTAGCATCAGTTCGCAGACACAGGAACTCTCTGGGCTTTTAATTCCTAACTAAGGCTGGTGAAGGTATCTAGGTAGATCAAAAGAGAGCAACTTTAAAAAAAAACTTTTTCATTTCTATCACCTCCAACTTTTTCCCGCTTGCATCTCTCTGGGTGAAAAGCAACAGTGCGCAAACACAGCACCCAGTAGCTAAAAGTGCCTTATCTGAAAGATTCAGTCCTGCGCCTTGGCTCCGCACTGAGTCACATGCTTTCCACACCCTGCAACTGATCTGCACTGATGCTTTTTTATTTCCCCAAGAGACAGTGAATGGCAAAGAGCAAACCCCATTCATTAGCAGAAGCAGTGTGAGGAATTCTACTTGAGCCATTACCTTGTTGAAAATTGGCGCTGGTGCAGTAGGCTTCGATCACCTTAAGGATCTGAGCGTCCTCTTCCAGAGCAGCTGTACCTGTCAAATTGAATCAGTAATGACTTCTCATAGACATATGACCCTGGACACTCAAAATGATGTTGTGTCCATCACTGCCAAGGACTCACAGTGTTTCTGAAAGGCAGGCAAAATTTGTTCAAGCCTCCTGAGACAAACATGACACCAGCAGTAACCCTGAGAGCTCTGGGGTCAGTACTCAGGGAGGAGGCTGCTCCTGAAGTTCAGAACTCTAAATTAGTGGAGTTCTATCAGTCATGCCTCGAAGGCTAAAATTACGGCGCCAGCGTGGTCTTGGCTTCAGCGCTCACCCAATACACCAGTCTTCCTGGCAATTAAATTTCAAGGCTTGTTTCTTTAAGAGCTTTTCCCAATTCACCCCACCCATCTTCTCAGCCAGCCAGTATATCACTGGCTCTCTCACCACCACACCCCTGCCCAACACAGTCTTGACATGCTCAGATGGCAATGTTCCACTAATAAGTTTACTTGTGGCTATGGTTGAAGTTGAAGGAATTGGAGTTCAGCAAAGATTTTTTTTGGGGGGGGGAGGGTTGGGTTTCAAGACAGGGTTTCTCTGTATTGTTTTGGAGCCTGTCCTGGAATTCTCTAGGTAGACCAGGCTTGGTCTTGAACTCACAGAGATTCGCCTGCCTCTGCCTCCCAAGTGCTGAGATTAAAGGTGTGCGGCAATTATTTTTAATATAACATTATATTTTTTATATTATAGTATCATATTATGACAGGGTATCATGTAAACCAGGCTGATCTCTAACGTGTTAAGCAGCTGAGGATAACCTTGAACTTCTTACTCTCCTGCCTCCACCTCCCAAGTGGGGTTTACAGGCACATGCCACCCATGCCTGGTTTATGTGGTGCTAGGGATCAAATTTTGGGACTCTGTGCTTGCTAGGCAAGTACTGTGAACTGAACTATGTCCCTAGCCACAGCAGAAGTTATCTAAGCTGGACTTGCAACTGGTACATGCAGCATTGCTGCATCACTGACTGCTTGTTCACGATTCAGAGCCAAATACAGGCATCTCACTTGACTGACTGACTTTATCAGCTCCCTAGATAACGTGATCTTTCTAGACGTCAGCAGACTGATTCCTTGGCCGACTGAGATTGTCCCTGAGCATTAGACTGCCAGAAGGACTTCTGTCCTCAAGTCCACTTAGTCTATTTGTTCAGAAACATATCCCGAGCATCAGAAGCCTGGAGGGCAAAAATGTGTCCATAGCAAATGGGCCCCATTGGGGGATGTAAAGCAGGTGGGGTGACATGTTCTGCACGTGAAAATGATACAGATTGATGTCTGTCCGCATCGGCAGGAAATGCAGCAGGGGACAGCTTATTCAGAAGTCTTAGGAGTGACCAAATTTTCCAGGCATTTTTACAACAGATGATGCCAAGAACAAACTGCTCTAATTATCTGCTTTTAAAAATTCTCCTGTTAGTTCACCCACAAATAAGTTTGCAAAAGTACGGAACACATACTTTTCCTAATCACGTATTCTTCCTCAGATGCTTTTCTCTCAGTCTTTCTTTTGTGAAGAAACTTCTTCATCGTCTTGGGACTCTTACTAGATTCCTGTAAGGATAATGGTTTCTCCATGAATTAACATTCTCTCCCAAATACAAATGAAAATAGAGCCAATCAAATGAATCCGAATGCATCTCTCATCGTGATAGCATCCATTAGGAAAGTGTCAGAACTTTAGATGACACATACTAAAAATGACTTCAGGAAACTTCAAAAGGTTCAACAAAGCACAGGCAATGACATTCCACTCTCAGTTGCCACAGGAATGAGAATAAGAATGAAGAAGGATGCAGATTGTGCAGGAGGGTCAGTGCCTTTAAGGTACCATCTGCAGCAAGAGTAATGGGATTTCAAACCCAGAAGAGTACCAGCATTCCTAACTTGGTTGATGCTTCCCATGGATAGTTTGACAATGTAAAACTACTGCTAGAACAGTTATCCCTTTTCGAAGAATTGAAAACTATTTGAGTAAGTTTTGCTTAAAAACAGTCCCACAAAGAAAATTATAATTTTATCAGTCAGATAGGAAAATTAAGGCATAAGACTAAGTTATTTTCTCAGAAATGAGAATTTTGTGAAGGGTTTCCTAATAAATAATTTGGAGTTATATATAGCCAAAGTTACACTTTTAATTATTATACAATGGAGATGAAAAATAGTGAATTGGGATTTTGCCATATGTGTAACTAATTAAAAAAATCAATGTTAATATGAAAGTAAACAGATTGAACTCTCACAATCTTACACTTAGAATCCCAAGATACTACCCTGATATTACATGTTGTCCATCATCTATGTATGTATGTATGTATGTACATATATATGTGTCTATCTGATGCATGAGTAATAATTAGTGCTTTAAAATATATGAAACAAATAATTTAATTGTCTTCACTTAGCCACAGTGGTCCACTTAGACTTGAAAAGAGAACATGAAAAACCACACGTGCTTAAAAGAAGAGGAAAAGCTAGTATTAAAAACATAGGAAAATGGGCATTTTAAAGGCATGATATATAAAGTGACATTTTACGCGCATCAAACACAAGCCTGCTTTTGAAGAAAGTACTTACATGTCAGAATTTCATCTTCACATTTTAGCCACCAATTATAGCAAGGGACAAAACAAGCATAAAGGAAAGCTTCATTCATCAAAGGTTACAGCACAACAACATTACGATGTCACTGTTCTACCCTTACCTTTAAGATATAAGACATCCTCTAAAATGAATATGTAAAGAAAGAGAAGATGAGCGTGAGAGGTCGATGGTTATAATGACCAAATCCATTTATCAATAATTCTAAAACAACATTTGAAATGTTAGTATTATCATAAATCACATGGAGAGAATATCATCACATTTCCCACATTAGTTTCAGATGCAATATCCTCATGCAAAAGTCCAAAGAATCCAGTTCTGTGCAGAATTACCAATGGTGAGAAATCACCGAAATGCACAGTACATAGCAAGAATATATTAATAACTCTCTTCCCCCAGCAGAAACAGTGAGCATGCCTAGTTTTAAGAGATTAGTTATGTGAAAGATTAAGTCAACTTTACCCTTCAGAGCTCGTCTTGGTATGAATTTAGTAACTGACAGTTGTAAAATGTCCATTATTAAAAAGGGGACTAGGTTACTAGTACTAGTAGCACTCCTGGTTTAAGTAATCAAAGAAAACTGAATGATTGTGGGTCAGTGGAACCACTTCTTGCCCAAATTCTGAATAGAGCTACTTTAGAGGGAAATGTTCAAGTCATGTCCCTATCATGTCAGTTGAAAGGGTTAAAAAATATCCTCCAGTGTCTATTTATTGTTCCATTTTATTGCACTGAGAGACAGAGGCAACAATTAATTGGAGCAGAAGTGTGGTTGCTCGAATCAAACTACACTCCAAACTGAGAAAAGTCTCCAAGATCAAAACACATGTGACAGAGAATTATATACTGCCTTTACATGAAAATTGTAAGGTTCATTTCATAACCGTCAGCAACTTACTCTTCATACAACAAGACCCTAAGACCAGTTATTAATAAATGAATGTCTTTCTGAAATATGAAATAATTAGAAGTAAGTAAGGGGGAAACCTCACTGGGTGGAAAAGGGAACACTTGTGTAGTTTAGGGAGCTAGTGACTGGCGTGCCTTCGCTGCAGTGTTGAAGCAAAGGACCAGACACTCTGGCCATGATGTATCTTGGCAGCACATTAGGCAAACATCAAGCACCCTGGGAGGGAGGCCGATACTGGGAGGCTTCTGTGTAAGAAGACATTTCTTTCATTTCATTCTTCTCTCTTTCCCACTACAGCAAGCATTGCTTTCATAGTTGAGACACACGGCTTGGTCTCGTGACACTTTACTGATTGGGTTTCGTTGATCAACATGCTATGAAATGCAGAATTGGGTGTTTGATTGGACATGCAGCTTTCAATGAAGTGTTTCTTGTTTGAGACGTGTGTACATCGTTAACTAATCTAAGGAATTAGTGTCACCATGTAGAGAGACAACAGAGGCACTTAAGGAAAAGACTAGGGAAACAGGCAGTGCACTTGAACTGTTCAGTACTATCAATGACTGTAGATGGAGAGCAGGTAAATGGAAAATTAAGAAACAATCACTGAGTCTAGCAATCAAGACTGATATATATACATAGATATATAGATATATATATGTGTGTGTACATACATATCAATATATATCCTATCATAAATTCTAGCATATTCTCACTGAACTATATGCAATAAGCTCATCAGAAGCATTTTATACCATAGATAGCAAAATTACCTCTTTATAACCTAGAGCTGCTGATGGTCTAAGTGGAGGTGCAGGTCGTAGGCAACTTAAACTCCACGGTTTTATAATTTGAGGAGGCTCCAAGGGTCCTCGGGGCTGTCCAGTAGAGCTAAAAGACTGGGAAAATGTCTCATGAGATGCTGGCAATCTGCCATCTGAACCCAACCTGGTACCACACAGTGAGAGAATGACAATAGCTTCATTGGTTCAGCAAAGCCAGACATGAAAGGGGGAGGTTGGAATAGTGAAAATGTCCAGTTGGAAAACTAACAATTGCTAAACAAAGGTATGGGGGTTCTAAGGAACAGTACAAAATGGACTCGGTGTCCCATGATCCTGTCCTCTCTTTTTTCATTTAAGGCAGAAATGTTTCCTCTGTGAGGGAGGAAAGTGGAGCAACAGGAACCATTTGAGTTTCAGTGATGTGTTTGGCACTCGATTAGATTTGTAAGTGGGCTCTTTCATCAGAGTAACAACGGCAGATGCAGAGAAGCGAAGTGACTGGTTGGAAATTGACAAAGACAAGATTTGAACCCAGATTTGATGCCAAAGCCTGTGTTCCACCACCACAACACACAGCACTCAAAACAAGTTGAGTAATTGGCATTACAGGTTTGAGCACTAACAGAGGAAAGCTTCCCTTTCACCCAGCAAGTACAGTAAAATCTCATTAATTCCAACTGGGTAAGTTCTAGATTACTGAGAACTCAGATGACAATGCTAAATGTTTACCTTTCCATGCAGGTTACTGAACAGATGTGAAAGCGTGAGTGAGATCGCATGAAGTTGTGAGATACTTCTTTGACTTAGCACATGATTAAGGTGAGAATAACATTTAGGAAACGAGTAAGTCTTGTTTATCATTAAAATCTCTTAGAAGGTCCTCTGGTGGGAAACACTTGACTAGCAGTTAAATGTAGAACCTTAAAACTGCTGACAAAGATCAGACATACTTAACTGCAATGTTTTATTAAATTTAATGAGCCTCCCAATGATGAGAAATCAGAATTAGTGAGGTTTAACTGTACTTCAGAATCTACAGAGACCACCCAAAGTCAAAGGGCATGCTTGCTGCTGATTTTCAGAAGTCTTTAGCAGGCAAAGTCTGACAAAAATTCAATAGTCCCAATACTTCAGCAATCCCAATACTTCAACAATTCCCATACTTCAGTAATCCCAATACTTCATTAATCCCAAAGAACTACTTACAGAATGAGTACTACATGATGATGATGATGTCTTAGATAATGAACTGCAAGAGGTCGGTCCTCTGGTCAGTCTGTTCAGCTGCTCCAGCCATTCCTGGAAGTCCTGGTTATTGTTGCAATACACCACAGTTCTCTCTATCACGTTACCTGTATCACCCAATTATGAACATTTAGGAACAAAACACAAGGATCTGTCTTACAAACACACTCAGTTGGGCATCTATTTGCAAGTGTCTTCCTCTCTATGAAATAATCCCTCCACACTTCAATATTAGGAACAGAGAAGTTGTGATAAAATGGTAAATTATTTTTATTTCTAAACCTGTTTTTAATATCTACCACTTTGCAGAATCTTAGATATAACGCAAAACCTCACAAGAAACACACTTGCAATCCAAAACCTTAAGTGTACTGACTGGCCATCTAGTCCACAGCCTCATCTAAGAAAATTGTACTGATTTGCTCAGTGTCCAAGAGGGAACAACATGTAGATGAAACCAGTTGAAAAAATCTATAAGCAGGTACCGAATCTTAGTCTCCTTATTGATGAGTACAGGTTTTGATACGGTCCAGGGGGGACATTAACACTGTCTTCAACACTGTAGCATGCATGTAGAAATGCAGCCATTACAAGTAAATCACAGAGGCCTGGCAAAGGGGACAATAGGCTAAAATGTCAGGGAGAATCATGAAGATTGGGCTCAATTTATATAGAAAGCTTCACGGATTCTTAGAACACAACTATGCCTTGCTAGTTTAGAGACTGATAAGATTGGTGACAAACGCCCACACCTTTGGCTTCTTGACCACTGTGGACCACATGACAGAGAAGGAGACAGTCAGTCCATTTTGTCATTCTCTAGCTCTGACAAGTAGGTCTTATGCAAGAGAAGATGGAAAGTAATGGGAAAAGCAAGGCTACTAAATGACAAGGAAGCCTCACTGTTTTATCAATCTACTCTAGTTATCACAGAGATGGAATGGGCTTTGCCATATGCCTGGAAAACCTGCTTATGGACTACACAGGAGCAAATAATAGCATTTATTTGTTTAAACTCCACTTTATCCCAAAAAGGATTTGAAGTAGCTACATGAAAAGGAGAAAATTACCTACCTGTGATTTCAAATGTGCAGTCATTCCCTTCAATTTCATCTAATCTAGTCACCGCCATCCCTGCTATTGGTATTTTTCCCTAGCAGAAAAAGAATATTCTTATTAATTCTATGATTGTACATATTTCCCTCAGACTTTTGATCCTCTCAGAAATCACATGGCCTGACATATTCCACTAGTGTGACAATAGACAATGCTTCTCTAGTCTACATTTTAATTAGACAAGAAAGCAAGGGAGAAAAGTGCATTTGGCTAATACACCTTAAACCCTAAGCTCACGATTTACAAAGCAGGTGACTTTCTAATGTATTGTCATACAAATTGAAAAGCAAAGCCTCACATTTTATGAAAAGGAGTAATGGCCAGGGTCATATATAACAGAGAATCAAAGCATAACAGTCTACATTTTGAGAACAGCCTGAGGGAGATTTCATTCCCTAAGGCATTTAAGAATCCACATCTTACAACCCAAATCCTATATATAACATCACTGCAATATGACAATTAACAGGATCAAGTCCCAACTTTGTGTTTTTCAGCAGTAACAATACGGGTCTCTAAACTGTTGCTGCTAATTTATCCAAGTATCAATTTAGATGTTTATTTATACAACTGGAAACCTAGCTCATAAGCAGAACAGCAGATACCCAGGACAGGATGATATGACTACAAAGTCTTTGGTCTCAAGAACATCTGTTCTTACACTAAGTTTCATTATAGTGAAGAGTTAGAACATTCTACCTTTGCCGGCTTAAGCTTATAATGCCATCATGCATATACCACATCTGAACAGAAGCCTGTTTTCATCTGGCCTTTGCTAATTTGTCTTACATGGGGCTACTCACCTGGTAGATAAAGCCACTCATCCGAGGACTTGCGGACAACATGATCAAGACATTTGAAAACAGCATGAAATACCGTTCCTCTTTCTCCTGAAGCAGAAAAAAAATCAGGAAAGGGAGAACAGCAATTGGAGAGCTTTTGTTAGGACCTTCTAAATCACTGCTTTGAAATACATAATCACCAACCTGAGCGTCGGCAGTGTGTTGTAAAAAGACAGCCAACTCAAAAGCGCCAGATGAGTATGGCCATTGCTCTCCGAGTGTGAGAGAAGACCCACATAGATCCTGCACTAGTGTCACATGACAGTTCCCAACACAAATTAAGTCTCTCAACATTCCCAAAACTGAAATGTAACTTTACTTTGAATAGTAGCGAAGTGAAGCAACTTTCAGCAGATAAGAAATTTATGCTTTGCTACAGCTGACCTGAGCTTGTGGGAGCTCACAGAGTCTGGACCCACAGCTAGAGAGCCTACATGGAACCGACCTAGGCCCTCTGCATGTGGGTGACAGTGGTGTAGTTTGGTGTGTTTGTATGGCTCCTGTCAGTGGGACCAGGACTTGTCCCTGGCACTTGAGCTGGCTTTTTGTAACCTATTCCCCATGCTGGGAGACCTCTCCCAAGGCAGGGGGAGGAGCTTGGTCCTGTCTCAACTAGATGTGCCATGCTTTGTTGACTTCCATGGGAGACCTTACCCCTTCTGAATGGAAACAGAGGAAGAGTGGATGTGCAGTAGAAGAGAGGTGGGGAGGGGTTGGGAGAAGAGGAGGAAGGGAAAACTGTGTTTGTTATGTAAAATAAATGAAAATTTTTACTAAAAAGTAATTTATGATCTACTAATATTCTCAGTCATTAAATTATTTCTAATCATTATTACAGGATAATCATGGGCTCAGTGGCTAAAGTACCTGTGCTCAAGCATGAGGGCCTGGGTTAGGACTTCTAGCATCCATATATTTGCTAAGCATAGCAAGAAGCATCTAAAATGTTGAGTGCTGCAGGGTCACAGCTAAGTGGGTCTAGGGGGTTTATTGGCTCTCCAGTCTAGTCAAAAATTGGCAAGCTCCACGTTCAATAAGAAACAAAATTGGAACTTAATAGATGAAGATGCTTACTGTCTACCTCTGGCCTCCAACCAAATGCACATATATGGAAAAGTCCATACACACGTACACATACAGAGAGATCATTACTGTGTGGCATGTAAGACAAATAAGTAAATACACTTTTAAAAATTGGTGTGGATTATTTGGTCTCTGTGTATGATATTGGAAATAAAATGTCAGACCTTGTGCATACTAAATCCACAGTCCTGTTCACCCCCAGACCAGTTTAATGGTTTTTTGTTGGCACATAACATATTTGTACACATTTATAAGAAACAATGTAGCATTTCAATTCATGTATACATTGGGTAATGACCAAATCTAAGTTATTAGTGTATCTACTATTTTAAACTTTTATCATTTCTTCAGGACACACTCAAAATCCTTGATAGACCTAGTAATATGACTCACTAGGTAAAGACAGCAAGTATGATGGTTGATTTGAAGACTTGAGTTTGATCCCCAGGACCCATGAGGTAGAAGGAGAGAACCAACCCCTACCAGTGGTCTTCTGCCCTCCACATGTGTGCTTGAGCAATAAACAAACTAATGTATAAACTACTTTTAAATGAAAATAAATTCTCTCTTCTAGCTCTTTTAAGATTTTTATAATGCATTGTTATCAGCTACACTTAACACATGAGGGATGCTGTGATCCCCGTAACAGAGTCACAATTAGTAGATAAAAATTCCATCTTGAGGCAGAGGCCGGCGGATGTCTGTGAGTTAAGAGGTCAGCCTGGTCTACAGAGCGAGTTCCAGGACAGTCAGGGCTACACAAAGAAACCCTGTCTTGAAAAGCCAAAAAATTGATTTGACACAATTACCCTTCCAGCTATCCTCTCATTCTCCTCCCCACTGAATAGAGTAAACCTTCAGAGCTAGCTGTTGGGACAACCATTATTCTCTCAGATCTTTCTCTTGACTAGTTTTCCTTCCACAGACATCACCCTTAGTAACCTCTCCTGTTTTACTGGGTCCTCCTCTTTTGCCTTTAACATACTCTCATCACCATCTGAAGGACCTTGCTCACACCATTCATAATATCTCATTTCTTGACGTTTTATTGCCAAATTACTCACTGCCTTCATTTTCTCTCCATTGATTCCTCGCTAACTTCACTTCCCCACTGCTTTCTCAAAGTCATCAATAACTTCCTGCTAGCAAAATCCAATGGTTTCCTTTTTTCCCTCCAGGAATTTCAATGACACCACAATCCCCAATTCTTTTCTATTCCCCTAGCTGAGTCCCACAATGGGTTCCTGTCCTTTCACCCAAGGATTTTATCTTTAAGATATAAATGCCTAATAGGTACCCTCATTGCATTAGCCTCCCCCAGAGTACCTGCATTTTCAATGAGATTGCTTAATAACCCGAAGTAATGAATCTCTGCCACAAGCACATCAGAGAGTATAGGGAGGTGTTTATGCAGAGAGGAGACAAGAGCAACGCCCAATAAATCACAGGTGACATAATCAACCATTCTCTTCTACCCTGGCCTCTTCCTAAAAGAAATAATCCATCTTCAACCTCTGGGCTTCTCTCTGAATATGTACTGCCTAGAAAGGTACATTTGTCAGAGACATCTAAATCTCTGTCTTGAATGCTGACCTCTTGCCTGTATTTCCACAGTGCATTAATAGCTGCTCACAGGACACGTACATGCAGATACCCAGGGCCTCTTGAAAGTTAGTGGGTCTAGATTATATCTGCCACCTTCTTATCCCATGAACTACCCCTTTCTGCGGATAGTACCATGGAAATGTGCCTCAGAGTTACTCTTTATTTTCCGTTCCCTCTGTCCTGTCCCTACTCCAGTTGACCTCGCCAGAAGGACAAATAAAGGAAGGGAAATGTGAAAGACAAAAGAAGCAATGCTGAGGACTTACCTCACAGGTTCCATACTGCACCATTACTTGTGACATAAAGATCACATTTCCCAGGGTCTTAATGTCGTCTCCCTCCCATGCCTGAATAGGTTCTGAAAGGATCTGCAGTTCCAGTTGTTTTCTCTTTCTCAAATCTTGGCACTGTCCCTACAGATGGGAAACAGAACATGATGCAATAGGGATCCAGGTGAGACAGATGGGGAAAGTTCTCAGACCCAAAACGAGTTCAAACTAAGGTAGGACTTTGGACTCCTTGTTGCTCACTGGATCTCTTTATCCCTTACCCTGAATTCTATGGCCATCCATGCTTCTGCCAGACAAACAAATCCACTACCTAGTCTTGAGTTATAGGAAGAGGAGATAGCTTCAAGTTTGCCAAGGAATGAAGATAGCATGCTAAGAAGGGGCTCATTGCTCCCTCCCCATGAAGAGTCTGTATAGACAAGGAACAGAATCCCATCAATAGAGCCAGGACAGCGACCAGCTCTTCACTACCATGAGTAAATAGGACTGTAATTAAAACTAATTTCATTTGTATGATGTATGCTCACTCTCCAACAAGATTGCAAGTTGAGGGTAAGAAAAACGAACAAAAATTACTCTTAGAGTTTTGAAAACAGAGAATGGCACTGTGCTGACTTTGTATAGGGAGCAACAGTACCCTGTAAAATACTAAGATTATTTTTATTCCTAAAGGGATTGGGGAAAAACAGATAAAAGTGGATTCCGTGATGATTACATTGGAAATTCAAATCAAGAAACAGTCTGCAAGTACCATGTGGGGTATGAAATATATAGAGAGATATAAAACGTGTCTCAGAAGAGTATAGTTATCTTACAGTAATTTAACAGTACTCATTCCAAAATGAATACACGTCTAAGCAAATGGTGTGTTACATTACTTTGTCCACATGAAGGTATAATACTTTTTGGAAATAGTTTTTTCTATAAAAATCAGTTGCATCATTTAACCAAGACTTTAAGAAATAAATATATTATACGGATTTTAAAGCATATGTATTTATAGCAAATATATTACCACTATCAAAGCAAGTTTTACAACATGACAAAAAAGAGACACACTTGCTTTCCGTTGTTGGAGGGGTGTATTTTAGTCTTGGTTTGTTCAGACAGGATCTTACATAGCTCAGGCTGGCCTCAAACTCACTATGTGACTAAGGCTCTGACTTTGAACTGGACTCTATGTCTCCAAGTATGCCCTACCATGCCTGACAGACTCTTGAATTTGTTGTGCTGTTTGCTTGTGCTGTTTTTTCAAAGACCTACTATGTTCATTTACATAAGAATGAATAAAAGAGGTACAAGTTACAACAAATGCCAGGCCATCCATGGGTTTGAGTGAGCTGTTCTACGAAGTTGAGCCATGTAAAACTGCAAGCACTTTTACTACTTTTGCCTGACAATAGGTGCAAATTTATCATAATGCCTTACCTGATCTTTAGTTTCCCTTTAAGCACTGATGCATCAGTTACTTATCTTCAAAAGCAATAAAAGTGAATAGATGGTGAATGCTATATACTATGCAGTAACCTTCTAGCTTTTGATCCTTGTTTTAGAAACGTTAAACATATCTAAATTTAACCCACTGCTCAAAATGAAGGGTTTTTTTCCCTTCTGAAATGGCATCAAAAGGTTCTACATCAGCAGGCTCAAGAAGACATGATAATGTCGATGCTCAAGATGCAAGATTATAGCTACCTCTGGTAGCAATCTATATTAAGCAATTTCATTTAGTGCATTGTGTTTTTCCTTTTAGAAAGGAATCCTATTTCATACGCAAAGAACAAATTCATATCTTTTGGCATAAACAGCGAAATCCGGTATTTATGCCAATCAGTGAATGGCATAGGGTGAGCAATGGGGGTAAAGACAAAGAAAAAAAGGAAACCCCCACCTACACATCAATGCTTAATGTGGCCAAGACTTTCAAACGTGATTGCTTTATATCCTCAGTCTGCCGACCTTTCATGGGTAAGCATGATTTGTGGAGAACAAAAGCAAATGTGACAATCATGGAGCTACTGTCTTGAGAGTGCATTGTTTCCATCCTGAGGACCTTTGCTTAAGGATAGAAATGTTACACATAAATCATTCTTCCAGGAACAAAGTATATAGAACGGAGAATGACAATCTGAGAGTGTCACCTACCATGAGTGTTTTGAATGCTACGATTGCTTTCAGAATGTCTTGATGATCCGGATGAGTGTCCTATCAAAGGAATACATTTTAAAACAATATCAGCATATGCATATATGTACGTAACAACATTAATGAAAAAAGAGGCCATGAGTGAAGGACAGCTAGAAGGGGTACATGGGAAGGCTTGGAGGGAGGCGGGAAGGAGGAAATGATGTAATTATAGTATAATCTCAAAAATAAAAGAAATGATTAAAAATAAATAACAAAAACAGTATTAGAGAAGAATGGATGCTGCCATGGATGAGGTGGGATGAACATATGGCCACAAAGGGATAATAAGGCAGAATTAAGTGTGTGTGTGTAATGCAATTGTTTTCTATCTTGACTATGGCAGTGATTACATTAATCCACACCTATGCTAAAATTCATGGAACTATGAACCAAAAGAAATTTTATTTATTCATACCTTTTAAGATTTTTCCAAATTATGTGCATATATGAGATAGATTATGTGAGAGAGAGAGAATTTGCACATGAATGTAGGTGTTAGAGGAGGCCAGAGGCTTTGGATTGCTCTGGAGCTACAGACAATTGTGAGCTAACTTGGATGCTGGGATTTGAACTCGGGTCCTTTGCAAAAATAGTATTCACTCTTAACTCCTGAGCTATCTCTCCAGCCCCAGAATTGTTTTTCCAAGACAGGGTTTCTCTGTGTAACAGCCCTAGCTGTCCTGGAATCAGCTCTGTAGACCAGGCTGGCCTCGAACTCACAAAGATCTGCCTACCTCTGCCTCCTGAGTGCTGGGATTAAAGGTGTGAGCCACCACTGCCTGGCTCCCAGAAAATTTCTTAATCACCTAATGACTGGAAGTACTGAGATCCTAAATCTAAATTCTGGTATATTTGTTAATTATTAACTTACCGTATTATACAACTGACTATTTTGCATATAACAGTTGAGTTTACTATTGTCTTTCTTCTCTTTTTAACTGACAAGTAAAATTATACAAATTTATGATAGATAACATGATGTTTTAATGTACGTGTACACATATATACATGCACATTGTAGAACAGCAGTATCTAGCCAAGCATAGTAGACTTTTCAGTCAGTTTTTAACATCATATACTTAATAACAACATAATAAATATCATTATTGAAGTAAGATTTCCCATTTCCTTCACCAACAAATAATGAACTGCACAATTTTTTGTGAGCTTTTATTTGGTTACAGTTTGGTGGTTTTGTTTTATTCTTTTTGGGCATTACTGAATATTTTCTAGTTTGGAGGGGTTGTTTTTTGAGAAAGAAAAGTTGGATGGATAGGAAGGGGGAGACAACTTGAGGGAGGGAAAGAATTTAATCAAGATATATTTACATTTAAAAATTGTCTTAAAATATTTAATAATAAATATAGTCACTAAATAATTAGTTGGAGGGTCATCATTGATTCTGTAGTGTACTTAACATTGAAGAATATGGGCATGTTGGGCATGCCTCAACTCACCTAGGGGTGTATATACACACGTACCCCCTGAATTCAGCTAGAGAAATGAGAAGGCAATTCTGCTCATCCAGTCTCGGGTAGAAAACTGGGTAGAACACCATGCTATAGGCAGGATTGTTCACGGAAAGTCAATGTGTATTCTTTCATTGTAAAACTTATCCTAACAAGCGATTAGAAACGTGCATGGTGCTAGGCTAGTGATGGAGGGGAAGGGAGTCAAAGTAAATGTGACCAAACGGACGCTGGGCTAGAAGCAGGTGAGGGAGGCAGCAGCAGGGGCGTCCTAGGCCTGGGAGTTGCTCCCCAGCTCCACACTGCTCTGACTGCCGGAGCACTGAGAAGTGAGTTTCTGCATTTTTGTGATAAGGAAGGAGGGGCTAACCTCAGTCTAGTGAACTGGCTTAGTGTGTGGAAAGGCATCCAGACGTCAACACCTTCCAGAGCCCCAGTTGCAATTCCATTTTGGCAGCCTTTACTTACCAACTGCCCACTGCCTCCAACTTTGAGGCAGTTCAGATACCCTGAGAAGGTGCTCTCACTCGGAGAGAGTGCTTTGAGTCCCTACAAATGCTGACAAGCACAGCGGTATGGAACCTTTTTCTTTAAAGATAACCAAACCCTTTAAAACCTCAAAACCTTTCCCCAGACACAGGAAGAGCAACTAGGGTAAACATAGTCTTTCCCACCCACGCCTCCACACCCCATGCAAGATCATGACAGAACAGCTCAAGGCATTGTGACTGCTTTTAAAAAGTACAATCGGATCAGGGTACTTATTATTCAATTATCAGACCCCGTTGCAATTCCTAATATTTAGAAATGGTTATAGCTGCACTACAAGCCTTACAAATAAAATTTAAGTTTATTAACAGAAATGTCGGTGGACTTTGATGTAGATATATATATATATATATGCACAGTGATACAGTAGTATTGGACCCATTTATACTCCTTAAGGAATGCTGGAGTCAGAAAACCATATGTCTACTGTGTCCCTATCTGCAACATACTGATTTTTAGATTTCTTTTCTTTTTTGGTTGGTCACCATGTTTTCTGACATAGGTTTGCTTTTTCTATCACAGTAATGTTAATACACCAGAACAACAGAGATTTGTAGGTCTGATGCCTATTGAACCATTGGCCGTTCTCAACCTGTGTGTTGACTCCCTTAGGCTCAAATACTGGATATTCTGCATATCAGATATTTACATTACAGTTCCTAATAGTAGCAACATTACAGTTATAAAATAGCAATGAAATAATTTATGCTGGGGGGGGGGTCAGTCCAACATGAGGAACTGTACTAAAGTGTCAAAGCATTAGGGAGGTTGACAACCACTGCTCCACAGACAAGATGGCAAAAGAAAACCACGTCAAGAAATGAGCACAGTCTTGAGGGAAGCAACAGGGCTGAGCTCAGCCTGGAAGAGCAGAGGGAAACGGGATATAATGATAACTGTGAAGCAGGATGGAATGGGGAACCTTCTTTTGCTGCATAAAGAGGAATGCTAGATTGGGGGAAGAGGGAATTTCAGATCATGTAGCATTTGAAACCAAGACATTTTCAGATTCTCAGCAAGGCCAGCTTGGAGGCAGACCATCTGCTTTGTGCAGCACGGAGGACACCAGTGGGCAGAGGACTTTGCTGAAGCTTGTCTTCCCTTACCTCCATATGTCGTTCCAGCTCTTGCAAGAGAGTAACATACTTTTCCAGTCGCATGAATGGTTTGCTGAGACTTGTTGTTAAAATGAGGATACCAGGGCTGGGTGCACCTTGATTTTCCATGAATCGTTCTAGATCATCACTAGAGTTAAAAGAAAATGGATGTACTTTCAATACTGATGAATATCTGATGCCAAGTATTGACTTGCTGAGTTCATGTATCTTGAACAATGCATCTAGCTGTTATCCATCTCTGCAGTGCTATTGGTTCTGTGTCCAGCACAGAGAGATGACGGTGAGCCACACTTGGGATCCTTGGTACTATTTACTCAGTCAGCACTTACTGATTGAGCATCTACAGAGAAGGAGGATCTGTCCTGGGATAGTGCTATACCAATAAACACAACAAAAGTTCCCAGCTTCAAGGAGGCTGTACCCAGGGTGAAGAATCTGTCAGATGACTTCAATCTCTAGTTAAAATAGTATGTTTTCTTGGTAACTTCAGACATTCTACTTATTTGCTGGTCCAATGCAAAGATTAGCCATTCAGCAAACCCTCCCTCTCACTCCACTAAACTGAAAGCTATTTCAGGCAGCAGGGTGTTGGTGTGACTAACTACAGAGTCATCTTGCCTAGCACTTTAAAACAGTTCTGCGGGCTACCTGAACACTCCCACAAGGCAGTGTGTTGGTGGGAATAAAAGTATGTTTCATGAGCCTAGCCCCCAAAACATGTATGTCTCAGATGCTGCTTTCTATGTCTCTCAGTACCTTTCCAGGTTGTTTCCATCAATGAGGGCTGGGACTACAAGGTCATTCGATATACACTTAAAATACAGAGAACTAGCTGTGGTAGCGCTTGTAGTGCTAGCACTCAGGACACAGGAGAATCTCCAGGAACTGAAGTCATCCTGAGCTACGAGGTCACCCTGAGCTACATAGTGACTTCTAGGACAGACTGGGATAAAGAATGAGATGCTGTATAAAAAGTGAAATAAAGGAAGAAAAGGGGGGGAAAACAAGATGGAAGGAGGAAAAGAGAAAAAAGAAAAAAAGAAAGGCAGGAAGGGAGGGAGGGAAGGTGTAGGAGGAAGCCTGTATGCCGCCATTAACCATGTGACTTACTAGAGGCACATACAGATGAGGTAATGAAAGAGCGGTTTACCACACCGCTAACCACACCCACTTTAGGCATGTCTAAAGACGTATACGGACGGACATAAAGAGCACACAGGAAGTCTTGGTCTCTTTTCCCGGAGTTCGGCTTCCGGTTCGGCAGCAGAAAACTACTTGGCTCATCTGGGTTACTTGTTTGGTATCTTGTGAGTAATTTCTACAATAAATACTTAGTTTTACTTTCAGTAAGTGTGTCGCTTATCGTTACAGCATCATTTGGAGCCTCAGGAAGGAAAGAGATGTAAGGAAGGAAGAGTGAGAGAAAGGAAAACGGAAAGAACGATTAGAGAAAGGAACTCATTTTGAAACCTTTGCTTTCTTCCTGGACCACTTAACTCCCTTGGTCACCTGTATGTACTCAGCCAGTTCCTGGTTTCCTTGGGTATTTTATTCCTGTCCACACCCACTGTTCCCGCCTAAGTCCAAACCTTCACTGTATCCCATATCCCATCTAGCACACTTCAGTAGGCCAGGTGTTTCCCCTGGCTTCCTGTCTCTCCCTACTCACCATCCTGTAAACACAGCATTCCTACTCAAGAGCGTCCAAGTCTAGGGGCTGGAGAGACGGCTCAGTGGCTAAGAGCACTGGCTGTTTTTTCAGAGGGCCCAGGTTCGATTCCTAGCACCTACATGGTAGCTCACAACTGTCTGTAACTCCAGTTCCAAGTGATTCAACAACCTCATACAAGCAAACGAATGTACACAAAATTAAAAAAAAAATAGGATGTCCAAGTGTCCACAAAGTAGTCTTAACTTTTGAGTATCACCAACCTTTTTTGTCACCCCAAACAAGATTCTCTACTAAAACATACCTAAATTTGTTTTCTTGAACATAGTTTGTATAGTGGTCCCCAAATGCAATGAAGTGTGTTCAAAGAAACTTACTATCAGTAGCTGAGTACAAATGGGGTTGGAAATGGAGTGACTTGCAGGTGATCCCTATTAAAAATGAACGTTCTCTCCTCAGGGTTCAGGGCTCAGTCAAGGATACAGTTTCAGCAACCACAGTGACAGCCCTGGCCATGCAGTACCATGTGTGTGTTGGGGGAATGGTCTGACAGTGGCTGCCTTCACAACCGAACAGTCACATCAAATTACCAGTGTTATCCATTGTATCCAGTTTACAGCCATGCACTGCAAACAGCCATAAAATATAAAAGCAAGAGCTGGAGAAAGACTTGGCGGTTAAAGGCAGATACCACTGCTCTTGCCGAGGACCAGAGTTCTGTCCCTAGCACCCACATCAGACAGCTCAACTGCCTATAACTCCAGCTCCAGGGGGTCTGACCCTCTCTTCTGGATCCTATGGGCACCTTCACTTACATGTGCACGTTCCCACACATAGAAACACATATACACATACTTAAAAGTAAAATAGATCCTTAAAAAAACAGATAAAGCCTACTTCCTAATAAAACTGCTCGGATTAAACTAATAGGATTTGTAAAGTTACCATTTTATGGTAAGCATTTCAGTACAGGTGTTTGTCCCATTTTACATTTGTGAAACCTGGGGCTCAGGAAGGCTAACAGCTAGTAAGTGGCTGTGGTGAACTTCATATGCAGGTTTGAAGCCAAACCCTGGGTCTGTCCACACCGCCACCCTGCCTCTCTACAGAAAGGAATTCTGTCACCATTAGCCAGCAGATACATTATTACAACCATTGCAAGATACGTGTATGCCTAGAGTCTTATCTTTAAAGTTTCCTGTGCCCATGATTTGCAGCTTGATGCATAATCAGCTGATGTTTAATTCCCAACCAAGAGATTAAAAAGACATAAAAACTCATCACTTATAAAGTATAATTAAGAAAGAACATTTGAGCAGACATGTAATCTGAAGAAAATGGCTTTCCTAATTTCTTTTCAGTTTGGTAAATAAGCTTTGTGTTTTCATTCTACGACTAAATGACTGCCAATCTTCCATATTCTGCTCTAATTGCTGTTAGAGTTGCGGCAATTAATTGCACAGGCTTATGGACACTGTGTTATTACTTTCCATGAAGTATTCGAATTTCTAGGCTTGGTAAATATTATAAAGCAATTCAACTTTCTTTCAAAATAACATGAGACACCTGTCTTGGGTTAAAACAGATTATTGGGAAGAAAGGAAAATGTCAGTAATGAAATGGACCAAATTGTTTTATAGAAATACCACCTGTCATGATAAATTGATAAAAGTGTCATGATAAAAGACACACTGTACTTAGCCAAATAAGTTTAATATGCAAAATAATATTATATTCAAATAAAATACACAAATGTATAATCATTATATTGAAGACAAATCTGGCTTGAAATGGCCTTTACCTTTAAATAGCCTGTTTGGAATGGCAATATTTTAAGACTTGTTTTTTTTTTTAATCTTATTTCATTTTATGTGTATGGGTGCAATGGGGGAAGTCCTTCTGTGTATATGTTTGTCCGATTGGTTGATAAATAAAGCACTGTTGGCCATTAGGGAAGCAAGATATTTGGGACTAGGAGTCGAGGAGGATTCTGGGAAATGTAGTCTAGAGTAGAGAGTCACCATGTGATCTCAGGAGGAGAGGACACATGAGGCTGCATCCTTGGTAAGATAAGACCTTGTAAAATATATATTAGTAATTATGGGTTAATAATTAAGTCAGAGCTAGCCATTAAGAAGCCATAGCAAATGCCCAACAGCTTCATAATACAGTGTCTCGTATGTTATTTGGGGGTTGAGACAGTGGCGGGACTCAGGCAGCTGGTGGGAAAGACTACACGTTACATGGGTGTTTTACCTGAATGCATGTCTGGGTACTATATGAATGCTTGGTGCCTTCGGATGCCAGAGAGGGCACAGGATCCCATGGAACTGGAGTTACAAATGGTTGTGGGTCAATATGTGGGTGTTGGGAATTGAACCCAGGATCTCTGCAAAAATAATCAGTGTTCTTAACTGCTAAACTATCTCTCCAGCTCCCCTCTCCCTTTTTTGAGTATTTGAGGCAAGTCTTGTGTAGCTTGGACTTAACCTTTTTATATAGCCAAGGATAGCTTTGAATCCTGATCTTGTTGCTTCAGCTGTGATTACAAGTGTGTATCACTACACCCAGTTCAAGGCTTGCTTTTGAAGCCTAATATGATTTATAGTAAGCAGTTTTCAACGAGTTTATAAATACTGCTTGAAATTCAATATATATTATTTCATAGAAAATATGGTAGATGGGGATCTGTTATATTCTGGGTTGGGCTGGAAGGCTAGAGAGAACTATTCTGTGTCATACTAACACTAGAGAGCTTAATTAATTCATATAACAGTGTTTCTGGGACCATCAAGGAAGCTGAGTTGGTAAAAGTACATGGAATGGACGTCTTACAACTGACCTGAGTTCAATCCCTAAAACCCACAGAGGAAAGAAGAGCTAACTCTTGAAAGTTGTTGTCTGACCTCTACACACACACACACACACACACACATACACACACACACACACACACACACACACACACAAAATTGAAATGTTAAAAAACGCTTTTGTGGAATCACTGTGCAGAATTTTAACTTGAATGAGCACAACCCTAACCTAGCAGAGGGTCAAATATTCTTTCTCCCCATCCAAATCTTTCCCCAACAGCCTTTCTTTGGAAATGTGGTACCCTGGCATGAGGAATGGGAAGCTCTGACTTCCAGTCAGTGAAAAAATCATAGGGGCACTGCTTTCTCTGGGGTTAACTATCCCTATTTTCTTCTCTCCTTTTTCCAGTCCCCAATGTTAGACCATCTGCTTCTGTCTGTTTGGAAACAGTCTCCTGTAGCAATGCCAGCCTTCAGTTTCTGATTCTCCTGCCTTTCCCTCCCAAATATTGGGATTACAGGCACACACACTACCACCACACCTAATTTGTCTGCTTTTTTGTCTTACCACTTTATGTCTGTAACTAGTTAGTCCAGACTCTTCAACGACACAAACAAAACATGACTGAGGCTTAGAACTGTTTC